GCTAACAACAAAAAGGCAGTGTGAGCCTGGGAGGCTTTTCTGTCATCTTAGCATGTCACATGGTGCGGTGCTGGTCTAAACCTGACCTCCATCCCAGCCAGTAGTAGTACCAGACCTTTGGAATTGGTTAGCATTAGCAAATACCATTAGGAAAAGGCATGTTGCTGACCCTTCAGCTACATAATAACACCTCCCCCTTCCTACACACATGGCTTCATCTGTTATTGTTACATCCCATGTTTGCCGCCTTACTGCTTTCATAGCGATGCCCAAGAGGGCCCTGTCTATACTTTATGATGCAGGCTGCATGGACTGAAAGTACAGAAGGCAGGGAGCATGAAATTGTGTGGTAAAGACATGGGATTTGCACAGACCAAGGTGTTCAAACAATTACATCACTTCAGGTTGAAGCTGCCTGCTGAGAAGCAGGATGATAAGAATGTCCGCAGAGGTCTCCTTCTCCCTTGTAGCTGTGATACTGAATGACGTTTGGTGTGATGAGGAGGTACAGACCCATCAGGGGAGGGGTGGGGAGGAGAGGCAGGTAGGGGCCGCTGGGAAAGCCTGCTCACGGTCGCGGCAGGTCACGTCTCATTTTTTGAGGTACAGCTGAATTATTAAACAGCCGTTGCAGTTGCAGTGGGAGTTTCAGGCCGCGGCCGTCCCCGGGACAGGAACTTCCGCTGCTCCGGGCGGGTGGCAAAGATCACACGGTTGTAGCGTGAAGAAGAGCAGACACTGTCTTACAGTATATGGCCATTCATTATTTTATTTTATCCAAAATGATTTAAGCGAAGTGGAGTCACAGTGAGCATGATGCAAACAATGGTCAGGAAATCTAAGAGATGGATTTGAAGAATATAAAGCCATGTGTTAACAGGTATCAGGCTACCTGACAGATGTTCCCTCAGACTGCACCGCCTTGCCCCAGGGGGAGAGCCCTGCTCCTGTGTCATCAGCCCAGGGGTGTTTTCGGTCCATGTGAGAGCCCCTCGAAGAGAAGAAGGCAGTCCTTGGCTTCGGCATGGGAGAGGAGCACCGCGATTGGCCCTCCGCACTCGGCCCCCTGCCCATCATTTGGGTCAGAGGTGCAGAGGTGTCCTGCTGAATCTATCCATCCATCCATCCATCCATCCATCTATCGGGTCCCAAGTGGAATCATGCTCATACTGAGGATGACATCATACACTGCCTTGTCTCCAACAATTTCCACATTTAACTCCCACACGCATAATGACCTGACTAGCAGGAGGGACTGGCTCTCCACACTATTCCCTTGAAGATTAGCACACAAAGCTCTGCGTTTCAGCCATGCAGTCGCCTCCAATTAGCCTACAGAGGGAAAGCCCAGCCTAACCTGCTTGTCTGGGGCAGACAGCCTGACGCGTGTGAGGCGGCCCAGACCAGAGGACTGCGCTTGTGACGCCGCTGCTTTGAGTGACTCTTTGTGCACCCCTACCCCCCCCCCCCCCCCCCCCCCCCCCACCCCCGTCTCTGTGCCCGATGCTTCTCCGGCAGACCAGCTGTCTGTAGGCATGCATGGCTACACACTAAAGTCTCCTCATTTGTACGAGTGTCACATTTAAGCATGGCGTGTTCTGGGTATAATTAACACATCCTTTGTCTGAAAAGCTGCCTGCCCGGTCACTGGACTCTCTGCCCCGGCACGAGGAGGAGCTGGTGGGTATGTGATGGTCATATGAAGGCTGTTAGTGCTGGTGCGGGTGCCCCATTGCCCTTTCACCTCGGTTCCCACAATGGACTTGGGCTTTAGTGGTCCACAGGACATCTCTGACAGTGGCCCAGTGTCTGAGCAAGCTCCACGCACACCTTGCCTGTCCAGATAGCATTTGGCCCCCAAGGTATTAGCTTGGAACCCACGGCACAGCTATGATTAGCCTCAGTCTGTGACGTCTCCATCCCCTCCTGCTCTTCACCTCTTACTTTCAGGTTTGTTTCACACACTTGGGTGTAGTTCTCACACCTGAGTATAGTAAGGTCTCTGGTTAGCTTGCGTTGATCTGCTCCACAAACAAGGGACCAGTGGAACTAACTAATGAAAGTTCACACGGTTACACAATTCATACATGCAGGTAACGTATTGTCGATATCCTTTGAAAACTGCTCATGTCACTGGTTTTTAGAGTTTTTACTATAGATGCAATACAGCCATTTTTAGAGTTTTTACTACAGATGGAATACAGCCATTGTTCTCTGTCTGCTGAAAGTGATGGACATCTAATTGACCAATGAAAAGATGCTTCATGAACTCAACATTTTAACTAGTATTTATGTTTGTGCTAGTTAACATTTGTAGTCATGATGGTCATTTGAATGGATTATTTTATATTGCTAATTTTTAAACATTGATAGCTAGCTGGCTATCTAACATCATTGTTAGCCGTGAATATAAAGCAAGATTAGTTTGTATCTTGTTGACACTAACATATTTGTCTTGCTGTCAAGAATCCATGTAAGTTAATTTAAAAGATCAAACCTGTCACTGATGGCTGTGTCAAAATAGGTTTCTATTTCTGGCGCTCATGGTGTCTCATTATGATGCTATAGGTTTATTTTGTAAAATAGTTTTTCATTGGAGAGCAAAGATATATTTACATTCTTGTTCACAATAACTGTTCTGTGAGTCAGGGACTATCATTCAAATTCCTCATCGCAAGGGGTCAATCAGACCCTTCCCTTCCCTCCGTATATCTGAAGTTCATTCGCCAGAATCAAGATTCACTGTTGCCTACTGAGCATAATACAGTCACATAATGTCACTGATGTTGATGGCAACGCTACAAAATTTGAGCTCCTTGTAGAAAAGCACAGCTGATTGTATCGAACCATGTGACGTGAACCTTGCTTTGTGTGTAAATGGAAGAATGGCCGGCAGGTTTCTCAGTGGCACAGCAAACCCAGGTCATTTTTGCCAGTAAATGACCTCAGTCTTTTTTAAAGTGACATTCCTGTTCTTTGTGGTGGTTTGTTAATTATTCATTTACTTCCAATACAAACAAAACTTGGCTGGCACAATAGGCAACACTGTTCACATGATCCCCATGTGTTGGGCAGGTTTCCTTCTGCAGTCCAACCCATGCAGTTAGGCTAATTGGTGTCTCTAAATATCCCATAGTATGCAAATGTCTCCTATGATAGACTGGCATCCGATTCAGGCCGTACTCCAGCCTTGCACACTATGTTGTGTTCCTGACCAGGATAAGTGGTTAGAAGATTGATAAACCAAGCTTAAAATATTGCCTGCTATTATTTAGTATGAACATCAGTCAGCTATGCATTCTTTGTTGCTAGATAAGCCCTGAGCTGCTGAGCCAGGACTGAACAATTTAATGTGTAATAACATGCTCAAAACAGTAGGGGTCCCCTGACGATAGAGTAATTACCACAGACTGAACTAACAAGCGTAGAAGCAGTGAGACTTTCAAAATAAGGCGTTCATCTACCTGTGCACCAGCTGGCTGCTCCGCTTTAATGAAGCTGCATTGAGGTTGGGCTTCCTGCTTTGGTAAATAATGAAGGTGAGGTGCCAGATCTCATGGAAATGATGAGATGTGAAGGCGCAGAGAGGGCTGCTCTCAGGCACGGCTCAATACTCTGCAAATCTCATTACGTGGAACATCGTGCTGTTTTAGCTAATTTCTGCTTTTGGAGTAAATGAAACATCTAAGGTTGACAAATCACACCCATGTTTAACAGGTCTCAGATTAAATGTGAAGACTTGCAGTGTCGCAAGACTTGCAGTGTCGCAAGACTTGCAGTGTCGCAAAACATACGAAAAAGGGCTCTCAGTGCTGTCATATATCATTTATGAATATCTCCACTACTCTGATTACACCATCTTCCCTGATGGAGCTCCTGTTTCAGGAGTAAAAATGTCTACAACGTGGAGCACATTCTGAATGACTTGAAATGGGTTTCATAATCCGCAGTTCCTCTCCTCTTACTCACTGTATCTTTACAGGTGACCAGTGTGTTAAGTGCAGTGGCTGCCCATGTTGGCCTTGGCCACTGGCCGATGCTGCAGTTCACTCGACTATCCTTCCCAAAGCACTTCCGCACTGGCGACTTTCAGCCACGACTGGTAATGTGAACTCATGATGAATCCACTTGCTACTGATCTTAACAAAGTTTATACCAATTTCTATAATGACTGCAAATTCAAGAATCTGGATGTTAATATATCTGGATTTGAGTAAAATATTAAAATATTAAAATATTAATTCTAAAATGTAAATATTTACATACTTTGTTTTTTTGAGTGGATGGAGAGGAACCTCTATAAAATCCAACAAATCTTGCAGTGAAAACTGCCCACAAAAAAAGAGAAATAATTAAAATTTCCTCACATCTTAATCCCTCTGACAAGTCCAAACGATGACCGGATTGAGGAAAAGGGTGATGTTTTTCATTATTTAGCAAACTTACAGTGCCAGGTTCTGCTCTCACATTAAGTAGGGTTATCTTCCTTCCTACCTTTTGAAATTTACGTGTCTGTAAAATAAGATATGAAACCTTTAAAAAGAACAGAAAGACAGAATTAGATAAGGTAGAAACTTCAAGGGGGTTTGAGAGTGGGGAGTGAAGTTAGCCAGCTTCTTAGCATGCTGCTCAGTGAGGTTAGCTAGCTTCTTAGCATGCTGCTCAGTGAGGTTAGCTAGCCTCTTAGCACAGTGCTGAGTGGGGAGGTGAGGTTAGCTAGCCTCTTAGCACAATGCTGAGCGGGGAGGTGAGGTTAGCTAGCCTCTTAGCACAGTGCTGAGCGGGGAGGTGAGGTTAGCTAGCCTCTTAGCGTAATGCTGAGTGGGGAGGTGAGGTTAGCTAGCCTCTTAGCACAGTGCTGAGCAGGGAGGTGGGGTTAGCTAGCCTCTTAGCATAACTTTGAGGAGGGAGGTGAGGTTAGCTAGCCTCTTAGCACAGTGCTGAGCAGGGAGGTGGGGTTAGCTAGCCTCTTAGCACAATGCTGAGTGGGGAGTGAAGTTAGCTAGCTTCTTAGCATGCTGCTCAGTGAGGTTAGCTAGCCTCTTAGCACAATGCTGAGCGGGGAGGTGAGGTTAGCTAGCCTCTTAGCACAATGCTGAGCAGGGAGGTGTGGTTAGCTAGCCTCTTAGCACAGTGCTGAGCAGGGAGGTGGGGTTAGCTAGCCTCTTAGCACAACTTTGAGGAGGGAGGTGAGGTTAGCTATAGCCTCTTAGCACAGTGCTGAGCAGGGAGGTGGGGTTAGCTAGCCTCTTAGCACAACTTTGAGGAGGGAGGTGAGGTTAGCTATAGCCTCTTAGCACAGTGCTGAGCAGGGAGGTGGGGTTAGCTAGCCTCTTAGCCCTGTGCTGAATAACAGAGACAGCATGAACACTGGCAGTTGGAGTGCGTGGGGGGTGCTTCAGTGATCCAGAATTTCTGAAGTGAATATATTTATAAAAATGTTTCTTGCCCTCTCCCTACAGACCGGAGCTTAGATACAGTCAGGGGCAGCTGAGCGACAGGCATTGGGGAGCAGCACATTTCCACTGTCCTGTATTAATCCTGCTGCAGATCACTGCCTGTCACTGTCCTTCTTATTCTTTTCTTGGTCAACATAAGAATGTTGTTCAGTACATGTTAAATGAATGACAAAAGAACTGTCAAAAGCAAACGCAAAAACCGCCGGCGTGACTGAGAACGGAGAGACAGGGGCACACTCAGAGACGAGGCCGGGATGGGAGTCGAGATAAGAACGGCGTTTAGAAATTAATGGCAGAGTGGGACTAAGCGAGAGAGTGAAAAGGCAGGGAAGTGAATAGAGGTCAGGAAGAGAAGGAATTGGGAATGAAAGCAAAGCAAATAGAAAGAGTGAGAGAGGGGTAAAAGGAGGGGTAGGAAGAATTTCCCCAAGGAGAAGATGTGTTTACGCTCCCTCTCTCCCTACCTCACTCACTCGCTTTGCCTGCTCAGCAGCACAGTCTGAGGTTCTCACTCCCTCTCTCCGTCTCTCTCTCTCAGTCTCTATTTCTCTCTCTCTTACAGTCCCTCTCTCTCTTTATCTCCCCCTCAGTGAGCTGCAGCCAGATCCACGCGTTGCCTCCCCTTACAAGTTACAAGTCCCCAACAGGGCTGGCAGCTGGACACGCAGACAGGGGACAAAGGAAGAGCTGGGAGAAGAGACAGAAAGAGGGAAGCTCTGAAAAAGTGTCAGCAAAACAAAAGAGCCCAGACCTGGTGGACCGTGATTGAGAGACGTACAGCGGAGCCACACAGACACAGGTAAGACACCCCTGCGACTCACAGAATCTGGTCTGGGCCACACTCGCTGCTTCTGTAGCAGAACATGCGGGAGTCACAGTCCTTGGACATGAAGATGTTGAAAACGGGCACCATCTCAGAGGACCACTGAGACACTGGGGGGGGCAGTGAAAGAGATTTGAGATTCTACTCCTTTATTCTCAAACTAGCAGCTGAAAGGCGAAGTTTCAAAGTTATTTATATGATATTTGAGTGTTGAAGAATTAATGGATGCTTCCGTGGTGACAGACAGGAGTTTAATGTGAACTCATAAGATAACAAAGGATACATTCATCTGAGTAAGTGATGCTTAAAGTCTTACGTTATTAAAATATCATATGTCACAGTGAATGAGCTAATCAAAGGCTAGTACCTTTCTAAACTTAAAAAAAACTTAAATTCACACACAGTTACTTTAGATTTTTGTCCTCATATACAGCCAGGTGTGAGCACTCAATGACATTCTACTACGAGAAACTCTTGAGACCTTGGTGATGAAAACATACTTTGAGTGATCAGAGTCTCCCTGGCCCGCTCTCTGAGAATCACGCGGCAGTCTGTCAGGAAAAGCCCACGGAGAACAGCCAGACTGCGGCGCTAACGAGCCCCACTGGTGGGACTGGTGCGCTGAGAGGAAGCTCACTGTCACCAGACAAAGGGGGAAAACGGGGGATTAAAGCCTTCCAGTGCAAAGGAAACCCACCCGGTCAGAGATTAGCCTCTCCTGCAAAATTCACAGGTCTTATCCAGAGCACACTGAATTATCATTATGGAAGAAAAATTAATCTTTTATGATTTTTTTGCAATTAAGTTATATCCAAGAGTTTAATCTCTTTCTCCATTTCACGCTATATGTATGACCACTGAGCTGAATAATTCACATTAGGAAAGTATGAACCTGGAAGCCATATTCATTTAAGACTGGTGTTACACTGATGAGGCCACAGCAGCAATAAGACATATGTTGTTGAGTTTCCCTCATTTGAAATGCAAGACTGCTGGCAGTAATGCAAGCAATGCCTTCACAAATTCATCTCGTGCAATGACTGAATTGATTTCACTGATTTCACGCATTGCCATCAGACAGGAGCCGAGGCTGTTTATGCGTAAAATGGAGAAAAAGCGTGTACAGTAACTCTCCAAGAGGAGATTAGCAGGAAGCAGGAAGACAGACCCAAGAACCAGAAGGCTAATGAGAAGTAGGATATCTATTTCTGATGTGTGCCGTATCCCTAGATAAAGCAGCCACTCCAGGCAGCCACTATGAATGCAGGCTGACCTGGATGTGGAAGCATTTAGCCTATTTTCAGAATTTTCTTTTTGTCAATTTCATGATTGAGTCAATGGGCGAAGATGAGTTGTTTGATCCCTCTGGCTTCAAACCAGCATGGTGTTGGTTCCATCCAGAGAAATTCAGCCCGAAACTTTTAAACGAGCTTCAGCTCTTGGCTTCCGCATACATATGAGGCTGACTTTGCTCATCACAAGGCTCACGCACGACTTCCTCGCTTCCTGCAGGGGGCAAAACTCTTTACTTTAGGATTGAGGAAATGGTGTGCCTTGAAGAACCTCCCCGTGGCAATACTCTCAAGTGGTCCACACTCTCCAGGTAGCAGAATGATGCAATTGGGGGGCAGGGGCAATGAAGACCCCAGTACCAGCCACTTAATAGGGTTTGCAGCACCTCCGGGTATCAGTCCATTACAGGTCCTTAAGCATATTACATGGCATTAAGAGGGAGACAGGATGTGTCAGCACTACTTGTGATTACTTACAGCTGCTTCTGGAGAGAGTGGCTTGGCAGGGGCTTAGTATGTGGTAAAGGACGGGGGGGCTCGGTCTGGCTGGGAGACTGACCATCAACACGGATGGCAAGATAACACGGGGCTACAGCCCTGCTCATCAACACAGCAAGCCCTGAACAGTCAAAATGTGATACCGTTAAAATGCATTCATTTTCAAAAATTCATAGAGCTACTTGTAAGATTGAAACATCACCTCCACAGATTAGATTGATTTTCCGGTTAAGCTTTTCATGCAACTTGATGCTTTAGCAGGTTGTCTACTTTGTTCTGGGCTGCCACACCTGTACACATCCAATGACGACCTCTAAAGCACAAGCCAGCTTAATTTCCTCATCCATGCATTTATCATATAACCCCTATTAACCTGATGCAACAGTGCCCCAAATATTACTGGACTGCAATGTTTACTTGATATGCACAGGGGTATAGGAACCGTGGGGAAGGGGGGGACATGTACCCCCCTAAATTTGGCTTCATAGGTGTATGTGAATGGTGTGTGTTTGCCCTGTAATGAGCTGATACCCCATCTTGACTTGTTCTCTGCCTTGTGCCTGTAGGATAGGCTCCAGAGTCCCCATGACCCTGAATAGGACAAACGGTACAGAAATAGATAAATAACTACATTTTGAACACCCAGTAATAGTAACTGCATTGCATACGCAGTTAATTAATGTTATCCTTTAATAAGAAATATGACTATACACATTAATGTTATGCAAATATTGAAACATTAATACACATACTGAATAATAAATAGCTAATGCAATGTTAATAAATTGTGAAAACACTTCCAATTTTTAGAGATTACAGAACTTTATTCCAATTACTGCAGTTACTTATTTAATTGTCCAATGTATGATATTTGTAGACATTCCTTGATTTCTTTATAAACTACCAATATCATGTAGTCACTGCCAATATCATGTAGTCATTTTTAAAGCGTAATCCCAAAAATGCTGGGTGTTTCCACAATTTTCCCACAATATTTAATTAAGCAGCATTTAACACTGATGTATTTCCAATTGTTGAATTAATTTCACTACATTTCACTAAACATATGACTGAATGATTTCCTTGAATGTATAATACATAACCAGCATGTCATGCATTAGGAAAAATGATAGAAGCTCCATACAAATACTCTGATTATGCTAAAACGCTTCTGGTCATTCTTGACCACTGATGTAGGAGGGAACCTTGAACAGTCAACTATGGGTCTTATGTAGTTACCCAAGGAATATCTTATTCAGTCAAACTGCCCATTATAGTGTGACTTTACCCATGGATTCAGAGCCTATTAGATCTGCCCAGCCTATTAGATCTGTATCTCACTGTATCACCTCAGTTCTGTGAGCCAACTGCGAGCCCTTTTAAAGGGATACATTGCAGTTGAAGACTGACAGCTTCATGAAACATCTCCTCTGTCCACCTGCAGGGATGTCTCCTTGTTGGATCTACCATTATGCCATCATGCCTTCCACATGACAGTCATCAGAGTAGGTTTCTTATCCATACCGAACAGGGGGACAGTTGGCTGATGCATTACTATTTAAAGTTTGATCACTGGGAGGGGTGACCATCTTCATCATTAACCCCACTAATGTGCAGTGCCAGTCGAGAGCACCTTCCCGTGTAATATGGCAGATCATGATTGGGTGGGTTTAATTTTACATGCTCACTAAAATGGGACTGCTGAATAGGGTGTAGAAAATGAGACTGGAGTGTAGAGGAATGTGCTCTATCCCCCCATAGCAATTCACTGCCATTGGTATAGGACATACCCAAAAGCATAGATTTGGGTATGGACAGTAGGGGCATGTCCCTACCAATAATTTGGGAGGACCATATGTGTTTGGGGGGGTGGGGGTTTAGGGCTGGTTTGGACCACATTGATGTTGGGCCAAACCGGCGCCCTTAGGCGGTCATGTATGATCAGAGATGGCTTTAATGTAACAAATACCTGGTACAGGTATGTTAGGAGCTGGAAGGGAGCAAAAATATGGACCACTGGAGAACTGGGTTGAAAAACACTGGCCTATAGGATGCCAGAGCTGCACATTTCTTTAAAGGTTGTTTTAGGTACACAGGTTTGCCAGTACACACCAGTGCCATTATTACTGGAATGTAGCCTTGGGGCTTGCTGTGGACATGTTTAAACGTGGTGCCATATCAGTGTAGACAATCCCAGACTGCATTGAACACAAGACTGAGGTACTTCCTGGAGGGTTGCCAGTTAGTGCATGAGCAGCTATTGTTTTTCTAACCCAAGGCTGCCATAGCGAGTGACATACCCGGCATGACTGGCAGTCTAATAACAATCTGTTCCTCCCCAAAGCCTGTGAGATACGGTATGTTCATCTTCGCCATATTCTCATACATCTTCAGTACTCCTCCTGATCTGTGCCCGCATCTGCACTCCTCCCCTTAATCCAACCCTAAATATCTTAAATTTTTCCATTTATCTGTTTATTCACTTCACGAATGATCAGGTTAAATTAAACAACCAACAGGGGATGCGATGCTGGACGTGCTGGTAATTACAAATGACTGAACAGCAGGTTGCGGACATCACTGAGACGTCTCACACATGACTACGAGGCAGGGGACCCCAATCTAATTATCAGGGACATGCAGCATTATTGACGGGCCCGCAGTCCTTTCATCTGGCTTCTGGGTGGTAGGCTGGCACGAGCGTGACCACAGATCATCAGTGCCCGGCCCACACTGACAATAGACAGATGTCGTACGGTAATACTGGTCAGCGGGTGTGGAGCCTGGAAGATATGAGCACTGGTGGCTGACTTTCAGTGATAGCGGGCCAGAGGCTGTAAGGTTTACATTTTGCAAAATCGTGTTGGGGCCCATCCCCAGGAAACACTCAAGTCTTATGAAATAATCTTGAATACTCAACATATACAGATCAAAGGCTAATACCTCTAAAGAGCTGAAACTACTTCCAGGCAGTACAGGGCATATGGCAGGGGTAGATGATGGGATGCCAGGATAATTCATCAACAATTAAAATTGTTAGTTATAAGCTTTGATATAAAACCTGCTCCAGTACCCTGTGCAACAAAGACAATAAAGCACCTGCGGCAGAAGTTATCCTGTTCACTGGGTCTCCAACCCGCAGGAACTGCTCAGATATTTAACACTTTTCAGTACAATAAAACTGAA